AAGATGCCAAGAGGTTTTTACGGTGAGTTTTAGCAGTAAAGTAGCTTTAGCAGCTTAAAAAATAAAATTGATTTTGTAGTTGCGCAATTCTCAGTGAACTGAGTCAACCTAAATAATATGTTCAGTCTATGATCATGAACTTGGAAAGTCATCAAAAATGTTTTCTCCAAAAAATTTCGAACACTGGTTTTTTGTTCACACACTCATGATGGCTCGCTTCAGAATGTCAATGTTATATGTCACATCTCACGTGGGTCACTCTTGTTTGCCTACAGGCGTACTCAGTCTATGATGAGGAGATAGGATATTGCCAGGGCCAGTCATTCCTCGCTGCAGCTCTGCTCCTACACGTGAGTACAAGCCAGGCTGTGCAATGCTTCTCATCTACCATCCTGATTCTCCTCGGTCACTGAGAAATATGTCTATAGAGGGCACCACAATAACCTTCTTGTATGTGGGAAGTAGACAAGTAACTAGATATGTCAACTACTTGAGTCATTGAAGTGTGTGCGTGCGTGTGTGCATGCGTGCATGCGTGCATACGTGCGTGTGTGCATGCGTGCGTGCGTGCGTGGCACTGCGTGCATGCATGCACTTGTTTGCATTTGTGTTAAGATGCACGTGTTGAATCCATGGAGTCTGTTGTTCAGTATAGGCAAGGTGTCACGCATTACAAAAATATAGTTATATAGTTATGTAGCTGTAGCTGCAGTTAAGCTTATATATTATTTATATATAGTTAAATTTTAATAGTTATAGTTATAATTATATAGTTATATACATATATTTACAGATATAGTTTTACTAACATCACGCTTCTTCTCTCTTGCTTTCTCTCACCCACGTTAGTCTGAGACTCTGGAGCAGCAGGGATTCTGCATCCCCCTATACTTATCGTTATAATAACAGTCATGATGTAGTGATGTCACCCTCTCTCACTCTCTGCCTTTGTCTGTATCATGGATGACAGATTCCGGAGGAGCAGGCGTTCTGCATCCTCGTGAAGATCATGTTCGAGTACGGACACCGCAACATCTTCCGCCAGAACTTTGAGGAGCTGCATCTCAAGTTCTACCAGCTGGAGCGACTCATCGAGGTAGGTGGCGCCACTCGCTTACCAGGTGGTGCTGCCACCTGCCAGCGGTTCATTGTTGTGGACAGCAAGTCTTGTGTTTCATTTACTCAAGGGTGTCTGGTTGCCACATGTTCTTGTACTTGTGTTAAGAAATATTAGGTGATCGTGCTGCATGGGTTGTGCCTTAACCCTAGCCCTAGCCTGGACTCTAACCCTAATCTGAATCCTAACTGTAATGTTCAGTCTAATGCTGACCCTATTTCTAATCCTAACCCGATCCTTTAGCCTAACCCTAACCCTATCACTAACCATATCCCTAACCCTGACCTTATACCTAACCTTAGTTGTAACCCCAATCCAAAACCTAGCCCTGACACTAACCCCAACTCTAACCCTATCCCCAACCCTATCGCCCTAGCCCAACCCTAATCCTGTCCCTAATTCTAGCCCTAGCTGTAACCCTGCTACTAACCTTAACCCTGTCCCTAGCTCTAACCCTAACAGTATATATATATATATATATATATATATATAAACAAGGGAATGTCATTCTCCTGGAAAGCCTCCATGTTTGAAGATCGGGGCCCCCCCTTGCAGCAGTAGATATTTTTTTAGATCATACTGCTGTCATACTTTGTTTACGAACGATTCATTGAGGAGATGTTAACTTAACAGCCAAGGAACAATATTTATCTATCATATGATTTTATATTGATTTATTATTATATGTTCATTTAATAAATACTGCGTAATAGCAAGTATAGTGACGTTCCACAATAAACTCAATTGAACATCAGTAAGAAAGGACTAACGATAATTTCTGCACCCAGCTGTGTAGCCTATCAACCTCTATCTCACACAACACAGAGCATCTCTACAAGCTATCTGTTATAATGATCTTGTTTACCGAATGTTTCGTTTGGCGGATGCGACATGGAAACGTAACCTGTCTATTAAGTGTGATATAATTCACATTGGTAAATGATTGAGTAGGTATTACGTTAGTAATATCAGTAGTTAATGGTAGTATTTATCACCGTTGCGTTGTGACTCCCGTCTTTCGACCCCTCGCGCAGGTCGGCAAGGTGCTGATGTCGTTTGCGAACGCATTCCGTCGCGTGCCGCGCTTGCCCTCTAGTGGCCCCACCTACTCGCCCGGCGACCCACTCTTCAAGTTTGAGGTGTCGTTGGAGGTGAAGGAGGAGGACGGGAAAGGCAGCTACGCGGTGTGCCCGAAGGACAAGAGCTGCTTCAAGCTGAGACGCAACCTAGAGAAGAAGCTCGTGCTGTCTGTGCAGCAGACGGCGGGGTTCAGAGAGCTGGTGATCGAGAGGTGAGGCCTGGTGGCGATTGATGAGTGAGGCCTGGTGGTGATCGATGGGTGAAGCCTTGTGGTTGTGATCGATTAGTGAGGCCTGGTGGCGATGGATGGGTGAAGCCTGGTGGCGATGGATGGGTGAGGCCTGGTGGCGATCGATGGGTGAGGCCTGGTGGCGATCGATGTGTAAAGTCTTGTGGTGATCGATGGGTGAGGCCTGGTGGCGATCGATGGGTGAGGCCTGGTGGCGATCGATGGGTGAGGCCTGGTGGTAATCGATGGGTGAGGCCTGGTGATAATCGATGGGTGAGGCCTGGTGGCGATTGATGGGTGAGGCCTGGTGGTGATCGATGGGTGAGGCCTGGTGGCGATCGATGGGTGAGGCCTGGTGGCGATCGATGGGTGAGGCCTGGTGCTGAGGAGTGAGATTTGCTTGTGATCGAGGTGTGAAGTCTGGTTTGGTTTTGAATCGAACGTGGGTGAAGGCGCTGGGGGTATGTGGTCAATTGGTAGAGGCCTGGGTTGGCGTGACTGAGCAGTGACCCCATGACTGGACTGACCGGCGGCCAGCACTGACTGACCCCGCACGGGGCGTTGCTGATGTTGCAGGTGCTTTCCGGCACTGTTGATTCAGCCCGGGAAGGAACGTGAAGAACAGCGACATGCATCATTAACTTGAACAAATGGTGCGTGCAGAGAACATGAGATGCGCCCTCGTGCTCGCAATTGTTGTCTCGTCGGCGTCTGCGTTTCATGCTCGGCACGTCTCACGGCAGCTCGGCAGGTCCGCGACGCGTCTTCAACGGCAAGCTCGGCATGGTCGCGACGCGCTCAGCGCAGCTTTCGCAGGTCGGGGCGACGCGTTCAAGCAGCTCGGTCAGGTCGCGACGCGTCTCACGGGCAGCTCGGCGAGGTCGGGCGACGCGTCGCTCACGGCAGCTCGGCAGTCGGGACGCGTCTCACGGCAGGCTCGGCAGTCGCGACGCGTCTGCACGGCAGCTCGGCAGGATCGCGACGCGTCTCACGGCAGCTCGGCCAGGTCGCGACGCGTTCAACGCAGCTCGGGCATGGTCGCGACGCGTCTCACGGCACGCTCAGGCAGGTCGCGACGCGTCTCACGGCAGGCTCGGCAGGTCGCGACGCGTCTCACGGCAGCTCGGCAGGTCGCAATCGCGTCTCACGACAGCTCGGGAGTCGCGACGCGTCTCAGCGGCAGCTCGGCAGGTCGCGAGCGCGTCTCAGCGGCAGGCTCGAGGTCGCGACGCCGTCTTCAGCGGCAGCTGCAGGTCGCAAACGCGTCTCACTGACAGCTCGCAGGTCGGCGACGCGTCTTTCACGACTAGCTCGGGGCAGCGTCGCGACGCGTCTCACGACAGCTCGGGCAGGTCGCGACGCGTCCTCACGGCAGCCGCTCAAGGTCGGCGACGTGTCTCACCTTACCAGCGCGTCTCGGACGTGCTCGGCCGCACCCATGTGCGTTTGGCTTCGGCCCACGGGTTAACGCAAATAACGGCGCCACCAGCTCGGATGAGCGAGGAATGCCGGCCATTGTTCGACTGTTGCGGTCTGCGCTAGTAAACGGGACTCACCTGTCTCCTCATCGCCAGCGTGGGATGGGCACGCGGCGGCCGAGGCGCAAACAGTACGTTGATCTCTGGCGTGTGGAACCCGGCGACCACGGCCGTCGAGCGTCCTCACAACAGAGCCGTCGAAAGTACGCTGTAATTGATGTCGCGCTACGCCTCTAGGCCTCGACCCCCCCGACGCTCGAGCTCAGGGGATCAGGTCCACCGCTTGACCTACAGTGTAGGGATAATGTTGCTTGTATAATGTAGTGGTATATGGAGAGCGCCCCTAATTACCAGAGCCCAAGGACCGGTTCCACAGTCGTGGATTAACTTTAACCTGAGTTAAGGTTAACTCCTGAGTTAAATTCACTAACTGCGAGTTAGTAAAGCTCCGAGTGTAAGATTTGGGTTTCATTAAACATGGTTAAATCCTGAGTTTGACAGTAACTCAGAGTTCAAATATTTTACTCATGAGTTGAGTATGCCCATAATTTTCAATATAGATCATAGAACAATACGCCAGCAGCAGACGAACAAGCTTAAACGCAGCAATGGTAGGAATGAAGAAGCGATCAGCAAATTTTCGTAGTGCGAAAAGGCAGCTGCTGTAGTGGAACTTAATGAGTTAACAGATGTGCTGACATCCGGAAGCTAACAAACAATATTACAACAAGTGCCAAAAAACCAGTATAGTGGACATAATTATTATTATTGTTATTGAGTTATCCTTATATACCGCGGCAGCCGGGTAAATAATAAACAATGGCAAATTTTTTTTTTGCCACTCGGGAATCGGAAGCCAGCGACGTTCACGATATTTAGCGATCGACGCTCTAACAGTTGCAGCTATCGAGAATGTTGTTAGCAATCTAACCATATTATAATCTGAACGAATGTTAGGATGGGAATAAATCAGTGTTGGTACTGCATCTATAGCTCACTCGTCAGCGGAACAACAACCGTAAATAAGATAGGTTTACAAGCGGGATGATTCGAACACGGGGCAGTACTAGATAAACTAAATTAGCTGCTAGTATTAGTATCGCTGACTAAACTAACCTCCGTAGAAACATCTTCAAAGTCTAAAGGATTGATACGCGCGAAGACATAACTATAAATTAATCAAATGTAAGTTGTTTCTTATGTATAAATTATGCAGATTCTTAGAAAATCTTACCGGTACCGTCGGTTCAAGGATACGAGAACATGGGGCCCATTGAAACCTATGTAATTTTCGTAATGTGGGGGTAGGCTCCTTTAAAATCGACGTAGGGGTACTGGTTAGGTGTTCTTGTTCATTTCAACCGAGAAACATTTATGTGAGTTAGACAGGAAGTGTTCGAAAAAATGGGTCCGTCGTGTTTGCGATATTCTTTTGTTTTTCGGAACTTGGGCGTTAAAAAGGTAAAATCAAGCTCATTTTTAACCCTGAGTTTAAGAGTTAATGCCAGGTTCGAACCAAGAGTTAAATTTAAACTCTGAGTATGGCATTATTTTAACTCAGAGTTAAAGTTAATGCAGCGACTGTGAAACGGAATTATAACTCAGAATAATGAGTTAACCCACACTGTGGAACCGGTCCTTAGACCTGGAGATTCCTTGAGGTTTTCAACCACCAGGCAAGTCCTGTGCGCTGGCAGTGGCTAGGTCGAGTGTAGTGTAGTGACCGAGAAGAAAGAAGATAGTGTGATTGTTTTGAAAACCGACGGTACTGGTACAGTGTAATCATGAAGTGTAACCCTGGCAGTGGTGGTACAGTGCGACGTGTATAACTCTAGCAGTTACTGGTAACAGTTGTGAATTGTCAAGTGAAATCTACCAGTACAGAGGAGTGTATTCATGCTCGTAACTACGTACTAGTTCAGTCAGTGTATCGATGGTGTAAACTACAGTATTTTGTTCAATGTAATCATGGGTATATTGACCCTAACACTGCCTGTACTATTTCTAACCTT